TCGAAACGATATATTATATGTCCAAAATAGAGTATAAGTGAATGAGATATCGATACTCAAAGATGGGTATTTGAGAATAAGTTTAGCAAAAGAGAGGAATGTGGGAATGAGTCCCACATTGTTAGAGAGACCAAACTCAACAAGGTTTATAAGCTTCATTGCATGGAAGGCTTACAAGCTTGTGTCTATGGTTATGCTACAATTCCTACCCGCGCGCAGGGGGGGGGGGTGCAAATCTTGGTTCCGTAGACCAAAAACACCGAACTCGTGCATGGGCGCGACCTGCGGACACGAATGAATTTACTACTCTTCTTCTTCTTCCTTATCTGCATTTCTGCTTCCGACCATCTTTTCAGGCAAGTGGTTATCTCCGGCAGTACACAATACTGTTTAGGTTGTTGTACCCTGGGAACAGACGTCGAATCTGTTTAAGGGAATCGAGTCCAACTCGAGCCTCAGCTACAACGTTTGCATCTAATCTTATTTTACAGGAAACTCTCAAGGACGAAAATCGAAGACTTTATACTAACATAATTTAAGTAAAATTATTGGTTTAGTACTTTTTTTTTAACATTCGGATCATCCCGATGTTTCTTTTTGTTACTAAGTCAGTCTATATTAGACTTGAAAAGATTATAATGCTCTTATCTATTTCTTTTTTTGACTTATTCTTTATCATTTTTAATTATTTATTACATTCATCATAAATTAAATGTCTCGCCTCTTTCCTTGCCCCCACATTATATGATGCTCAGGTCGGAGCCATCACTCTTCCGTTGCTGGAAAATCCTCATAAATCGTTCCTATTACCGGAAAATCAACCATCTCCTCCCTTTGAAAGTGATGTTCTTCTATCACTTGATTTGATAACCGTTCAAGTGAAAGTGTGTCAGATATTAATCTTTAAGTGACACGAGTATTAAATAGTTTCCTAATAAATAATGTGTTGGATAACAATATCTCTAAAAATATAGCTACGAATATCTACATCTTGGACAATGACAACTAATATAAAAAAACTAGTCACACACACAATTTCACAAAAGTTGTTATTCAAATAAGAAATAGATACAAATTCCTAAATTTTTGGTATTCTTATTATTTAATATATATTTTACCACCGGCCCAAATCAAACAATTTTTTACAAAAAATGGCCTTTCTACCATCTTTCAACTACTTGCCATCATAGCCAAGAGCCAACTTGTGAGGTTTATTCAAGCGAACATTGTCATCAAGACCGAGTTTCACTTCCTCGTGAAGCAGTTGTTTCACACCGTATAATGTGCAGTCTATAAAATCCCTTGGTTTCTTCGTGACCGGATGAATTATTTTGAAAAAAAAAAAAAAAAAAAAAAACAATTATATGTACATCCCAAAACATCTATGACTCTACGTAGTGGCTCCTAGAGTCCTAGTTGATAACTAAAGGGAAGTAGTTCCGGAAATTGGAATGTAAATTGAATAATAGTAAAAATCACCATTAACTAGCAAAACAAATTTGAGATTTTTTACCTAAGTTTGAAATTTTGCATTACCTTTACCAGAAAAATGATGTTAAAAATCATAATTTAGTTCGGAAATCAAAAAATGCAAGTTTCGAAATTGCTTTATGTCAAAGAATCTAAAAAAATGTAAATGGTGTTCAAAAAATAAAAAGAAGTTTTGAAAATTTTGCAAAAACAAATTTTCACAAATAAGTTATGTTAAAATAGAATTTTGAAGATCTTTAAGTTAAGAAATTTTGTTTATGGAATAAGTTTTATGTCAAAATGTTAGTGCAAAATTTGAGAGATTACCGTTGTATGTCAAAAACCACCATTGAAAAATCAAGATGGTGATTGTATTTGATCTTTAAAAATAAATATAAGATGGGAAAATGTTAGATTTTGGGTTTTAAGAATATCAATATATTTTGATATCTCTTGGATCATGATTGCATTCACTTTCCAAAATCTATGATTTTGATCCTATAGTCTTAGGTATCACGAACATAGTCACATGGAACGCGCTGGATCGAGGAACAAAAATGGGAATGAGGATCGGTAATTTTTTGTTTTCGGTACGAGGGGGTAGTTTCATTCGGAACGCGAATCGAGAACACTAAACGTTGTACCGGTTACTTCGTTACGAAGTACCATATATAAATAAATAAATAGACTATAATTTAGTAATCAACATAAAAATAAAAATGATATTAAATAACACATAACTATTTCAAAATCCATAAATCATAACTTCAAAAAAACATTGTTCTTTAACATAAAAATAAAAAAACAGGAACATAAAATGAAATTAATTAACCCTTTGCTTTTCTCGTTTGTCTAAATTCTCCTATTGCATTTCCTCAAATCTTGTACTCGCCCTTCTAAATATGCATTTTCCGGTTTATATCCCATTTTTTGTGTGGTACCGTTTTGTAACTTTCAGAAAAACGTGACTGTAGACGAATGTTTGAATGGATAAACACAAGTTTTTCAGCTCTTTTGGTATTTAAGCGGTTTCTCTTCATACTGTGTATGTAAGAGTAGGCGCTCCAGTTTCTTTTTGCCGACGAGCTATTAATCGGCTGTTACAAAACTTTCTTTGCAACATCAACCAAATCTGGAGTTTTTAAACCGTAACTTAATCACCAATCGATCACGTCCATGGTTACTGCATCCATTTGAGCTTCCACCATTGAGTAGAGCCCCTTCTTCTTTTGGAATTTCGCAAACTGCTCACGCAACATGTGCTCTTCTTCTGAGCTTTCATCTATTCTTTTAAAAGCTTCCATACGACCGAGTACCACTTCTTTGTCGAGATTAGGAGCTTTTCTGAGTATTCCACGTGGTGCTAACATGTTAAGAAAATGTGTATCATAAAATCGAGGAGATAAAGCAAACCCCGCAGTGCAACGGAATCGTCATCTTCTCCCATCTAGATAGCATTATTTTCTCCATTTGCGGGTAATAAGAAACATATGTATTATCTAACATAACATCCTTAATTTCTCCCAACATATTATCCATTTTTTCGTATATTCCTCCAATTTTTGATCCATCACCATCACAAAACTTTATCAGTAAGAAAATTGGTTTTGTAATTTCTAAAATACTTTCAACATCTTCCCAGAGCTCTTCACTTCTTATGGTGTCAACAACTGTGGCTTTGGTAACTCTAGTATTTTCATCTACGTTTTTTACCCAATCTCTCCAAGAGTTTAAGGAAATGGTTGTAGCAAGAGCCTCTCTACATTCCATTAACCTTTTCAATAAAATATAATGGGACGCAAATCTTATCTTGGCCACTTATAACAATTCTAACTGTGAATTGTCTCTAAAAATGGTCAAAGCTTTATTGTGGTTTAGGAAATAGTTAACAATCACTTTTCCTCTCCTATATGTGTTGAACAACCAATAAAACTCTTTGGCAAGACCTTTAAAAATCAAGTTTAATGTATGAACACAACAAGGAGAACAAAAGATGTGCTTGTGTACCTTTTCAATTTCCCTTCCAGCAGCTTTGAAATTCGCTGCATTATCTGTAACAACTTGAAGGACATTTTTTGGTCCTACTTTTTCAATAGCACCAAGCAAGTATTCTGCTATCGCCACACCTGTTTTTTCCAGACCAGAGAAATCCTCTGCATACATGAACATTGCTTTACGTCTGTTCACCGCAAGAACATTAATAAGAGGTTCATGTTTCATATTTGTCCACCTATCGGATACAGTGGAAACACCTTGGGAATACCATGTGTCCTTTATTGGTGTTAAGTCTTTTTCAACATCTCTAAGGCATTCATTAAGCAAAACAGTCCTTGCCTTTTCACTTAATGGTTGTTTGTAACCATGGGGTGATTTGCTGATTACTCTAACCATCTCGAGAAATTGTGGATTTCTCAAAACATTGAAAGGAATGCCATTAGCACATAATCCTCTCATAATCTTCAGGTCCACCATGTTTCTTTCCATTTTTCCAAATGATTCTTCAATAGGTTTCTTAGACAAAGAAGAAGATGCAGTCTTGTTACTGAATATATAACTTTTCAAAGCGCGAGAAACACATACCTTTTCAACAGCTTTCACTTTATTCATCAACCTTTGATACTTCCCCCGGTCTTTTAATATTGCACCACACCTTTTAATTTATGCTTTTATCCCATCAGTAGCACCAAAAAAGTGAACATAAATTATGGTGTAAGAACTTGTAAACTTTTGCTTGCAATGCTTACATTCCCAAACCTTTGAACCCTTGCGTTTTTGCTATCT